TTATTGTTTTTTAATCTTTTTTTTTTTACTTTTTATTTTTTTTTTCATACAGAAGAATTCATTCCAAAGCAATTGACATTGAGACGTTTTCACATGCATTTCTAATCTCTATATACAAAATGTACCTTCAGAGGGTACTCCTGGGTTTGTGGTTTCTTTGTTAAAGCTGAAAACAGTCGATTGCTATTCCTATTCAGCAATTAATTATATGGGGATTGTTCATATGTTATAGTGTTATAATTTGGCTAGGGTAACTGAAAACCAGAGATAATCTGTTAAAATTATTTTGTGTATGCTTAATATATTTTTAAAAATTAATTTTATGTGTATGAGAGTTTTGCCTGCAGAAGAAGGTGTCAGATCTCCTAGGACTGGAGTTACAGATGATTGTTAGCCGCCATATGGGTTTTGGGGACTGAACCCAGGTCCTCTGCAAAAGAGGCCTGTGCTCTTAACCACTAGCTCCTGTTAAATATATACATATATATATGTATATGTATGTGTATGTATATATATATATGTATATTTGTCTTTGGTTAATGTCAAGTAACTAACATTTTCCAATAAAATTTTTCCTAATTTCTTTGGTTCACCTTATGGAACTTTTCAGACTTGATAGAGAAAAATATGAAAATGTTGGGGCTGAAGTGAAGAATTGGCATTTAAGGGCTTCCTACTCTTACAGAAGACTGGAGTTCGAGCCCCAGCATCCATGTCATGCAGCTCACAATCACCTGTAACTGCAACTCCAGAGGATCTGACATGCTTTTCTGGCCTTCACAGACATATGCACTCATGTGCACATATTCAAACATGCACACACACACACACACACACACATAATTAAAAGTAAAAATTAAAGAATGTGAAAACAATAGACAATGAATTCTCTATGAATTACTGAAAAGGGTTTATTTGATACTTATTGAAACTATGACATATGAATTTTGGCAATCTTGTTTGTAGTAGGGCTTTCATGCTTTCAAGAGACCGCTCCCTGAACGTTGTCTGAATATTTTTCAAGATCTTGCTAATACAGATTTTATAAAATATTTATATATGCATGTAGATACACACATGTACACATTTATTTATCTCTAGGAAAATAGAATTTCAAGATTACATCGTAAATGAATGTCTAATTATAAAGAAAAACACAAAACTAAAATTCATCTGTCAGACATGGAAACCAAGGCCTATATGTAGTATTTTGTGTTTCTATATCTATTTCTGTTGAAGATGATGATAAAATATTAACAGAGGCAATAGCCTGTATAGAACGTGTATTTAATAATGAATGTTCTTATTATTAAAATGATAGCTATACGTGTATCCTAGGCTTAAATGATATATACAAAGGTGGCACACATAGTCACATACCCTTAATTATATACATTTTTACTAAGGAAAACACATACTTTCAAGGTTTTTCCTTTAAAAGCTAATATTCCTCAAAAGTTATTCCATTGTTGGAAGATTAGAGGGCTTAACGTGGCTCTGAGACAATAATGAAATTATTTGTCTTTAATTTCTACTGAAGAAACATTTCATTAATTTTCAAGACATTGCTGTCCTATAGCTAGAGAGACCTAAGGTGTTTTATTTTGTAGGTGAGGTAAAGTAGACAATAAACTTGGAGAAGGGATAGAGCCAAGACCCATCAGACTTAACTATAGAACATTGTAATTGTTTTGTTGAATTTTCTCAAAGCAGAGATTAAAAAAAAAACAAAAAACAAACCACTGAATAATTGAACCTGTGATCAGCAATGCAGTTAGAAACTGAGGAAATGATAAAATGTTCCAAAAGAAGATGGGTAGCAAGGACATCTTACTTTCAAAATATGTTATTTCTTATTTTTATTTCATGGGTATGACTGGTTTGCCTGCATGTATGTAAGTGCACACATGTCAGGCAATGCCCACAAAATCAGAAGAGGCCATCGGACCCCCTGGAACTGGAGTCACAGATAATTATTGGCCACCATGTGGATGCTGGGAATCAAATATGGGTTCTCCACAAGAGCAGCCAGTGCTCTTAACCACTGAGCCATCTCTTCAGTCCCAAATCTTACTTGTAGTTTTTTTTTGTTGTTGTTGTCTTTTTGAGGCAGGGTCTTTCTGTAGCTCCAGCTGGCCTGGAACTCACTATGTAGACCAGGCTGGCCTTGAATTCATAGAGATCCACCTGCCTCGGCCTCCCAAGTGGTAGGATTAAAGGCATGCACCATCAAATTTTACTTTTTAAATAAGAACATATTTGAAATTATTGCTTTGTAAAGGTTTGCATTATATATATGTCACCATCCTATTAGATAATAAAGAAAATGAAATTTTCTGCCCAGTGGTTTGCCTGAGGATGTACGATAGTGCTGATATAACTTTCTTGTTTCATTAGGGATTAACAGGACCTGATGGATCCCCTGGCTCTGTTGGACCAAGGGGACAAAAAGTGAGTTAGCTACCTGGTATTGATTTCATGGCATTTGCCAATCAAAAAAATACCTTAAGCTAAAGTTTATAACCCAACTAAAATGCTGAGTGTTAGCTGAAATATTTTTTAAACTAAAACGATGTTTAAACACTCCAAGGTGAACTGTTTTAATGAATGATTTTGGTATTTATACAGTTTGCGTATTTACATATTCATGTTACACAAAGATAAGTACAATGAAGTTATGTTTACTTTTAGGGGGAACCTGGTGTGCCTGGATCTCGTGGATTTCCAGTAAGTATTAGTAACTGTAAAGCAACAAAATTGAAATCTATCTTTAGGTAAAATTCTGCCATTATGAAAAAAATTTAATACAGTTTTCAGCATAATATGCATGATAAAGTGCTTATGACTATGTAGTTCAGTAAGTATTCCTGCTGTTAACAGAAAAGTTAGAATGTGTGGTATAAAACACCTATGTCTATTTTCAGATAATATTTCTTAATTTAATTTACTTTTCTTTTGAGACAGAAATGGCCTCACTCTGTAGCCCAGGCTAGCCTGGAGCTACTCATAACCCTCCTGCTTCAGCCTCCTGTGTGTTGGGATTACAGAATGACCCACCATGCCTGACTTCAGGTGGTATTTCTGCCTCATTGCTAGAAAAGCATTTCTCGCATAACAATAGCAAGATTCCAAGTATGGCCTAATAATCTAAATCTTAAACCACTCATCAAACCACCCATTTTATATCTAATAAAATCTCAACTGAAATATTCCGGTCTCATTCCTTGATTAGACTTCTCCTGTATTGCACAGTGGAGCAGATTTGGGTTATCATAGCACTAGATTCTCTTTTCCTATCTAGTTTAGTCATTGCTAATGTCATTAGTCTGTGTTCCCCCTCCTCATTTGAAGTGCTTTCTTTACTTCCTTTACACAGCTCCCTCTCATCAGTCCCCTTCATCCCCCTAGACAGTTTTCACTTCCACTTTTACATCAGACTTGATCTTATGTATCTCTATAAAATCTAGGATCTGCAAGTAAGATAATATTTGTGTTATTTGTCTTTCTGAGACTGATTTACTTTGCTCAGTAAGTTGTATCCACTTTCCTGTTTGTTGGAGTTCATCATAATACTAGCCTTTGCACTAGGAATTGGGACTAGGTAGAGAAATAAGACGTGGCTTCAGCCCTTGATTGTGTGTAGTCTAGAGTTGGTAAAGTGATACTAAGGGCAAGGAAAAGGAGGTAAAGAAGATTTAAAATCAAATTTAGCATGTTCTGTTAGGATCCCCCTGTAGGTTACCTCAGGACTGACACCAATTTAAGTGATTCATTGTATAGAAATATAGTTTTACCTGTTAAAAGGGGAGATATTTCTAAAAGAAGCACTTCTTTGCCTCTCTGTGCCTAGTGCGTGTTTCGGGAATGTCTAAATATCAGTCATTACCAACTGTAAAATTATACTGTCTTTAATGCAGATTTCTTGTACAAGTAATACTACAGATGAATACAATCTTTAAACTGTTTATGATGCACTGCTCCAACTGAGCCATCTTTCCAGTCCCAATCCTGTGATTTCTTTATAATGAACATGATGTAGTGTTAGAGTCTCAGTTTCTTTTTAAAATTAAGTTATTATGTCTGTAATTATATCAAGTTAAAAATCATATGCCATAAACATCTATATTTTGATCTTTTAGGGCCGTGGTATTCCAGGACCCCCTGTAAGTATCTTTTCATTATTTATTTTTTAAAATCTAGAAAATAGTCTATTTCTCAAATCCTGACCTGACCCTCTAGCTGCACTCTATGGGGCTTGTAGGCCTCATCTAGTTGATCTTAGGTAGCTATTAATAACAACATACCATTCTGCCATACAAAATATTTACCAGTTTAGGAAATTTCTGTTCCAAGCTAAATCAAGTTTGAACAAATGAGTTATTGCTTCCTTGGAAACCAAAGCTAGCACAGATACATAATTCTAAGCCTTTTATATTCGATAGCATTTATAGTAAATTGTAAATGTAAACATATCCATAAATCATCTTGTCACTTGGATTTGTTGACTTCAGGGTCCTCCAGGGACCACAGGACTCCCTGGAGAGCTTGGCCGCATCGGACCTATTGTGAGTATCATGGTGCATTCTGATTGACATTTGCTCATTTGAAAGGAAGTGTTATTAATGAAGGCAAATCACTCTATCGTGTGCTTCCTCCTAAAAGTCCAAAAATAGTAAATGAATATTACTCCACTTAAACATTTCTTCCCAACTTCCAGATTGACTTTCAAACTATGGAGCTTCATCCCCATTTTACATACTCTTATCAAGGATTGGGTCCAGTGACTTTTATGCTAGACTATCCACATGGTATTTAACAATAGTGCTAGGATATTATCGTGTGTTTTTATGGAAGAAGCGTTAAATTATAACCAGATTTAACTTTAATTAAACATGAAGAAACTAAGCATGAAGAGCTCCACAGAGAGCAAATCACTGAAAAATGTTGAAGTATTGATATTATGAGAAGGTAGGAAATTGTAAACTCCACCGAAGGAGGAGAGTTAGCATGCTCTCCGTTTGTTTACCGAACAAATGAATTTATACAAGATGATTGTATATTTGAAATAATTATAAGATAGTTTTGATTTTTTTATATTTTACACATTAAGAAGGAAAATGTGTTAATAAAAATTGGACATGCAGAGTATTTTGAACCCACTTTCATCTGAATGCCTTATTTGAATATAGCCATGTTTGTTTTTCTGTCCATTGCAAGAGTTCAGTGACAGATCAGATGAGGCTAGGCGGACAGCAGAAGCAAGACTCTGCCTTGCAGAGATGAACCCTCCATTCTCAGCTTCAGGCTGGGCACAAGCCAGCTTTTGTTTTAATTGGCTGGATGGCTTTAATTAACTGGCAATATTGGGTACTTGGATTCCTCTGTAAACCAACTAGAATAATACACAGGATTTTTAATGTGTTCAGAGTGGGTAAAGTGATCATCCTATGGAGAACTGACCCTTTGACCTGTGTCTTCCTTTGCTTTGTTTTCTACCTTGGTATTGTAGAACTTTATCTTCTTTATTTTCCTGGTAATGTAGAACTAATTGGATTTTGGTGGGAGATCTATGCATGCCTGAGCTCTGAGGCCATTTCCAGTAATGCTGTTCTCTCATGCTGTGCTGGTTTTCTGTACTGTGTTCTGGTTCTTGTATAACCACCATATCCCTATTTTTTCAATGATGTAGGGTGACCCTGGGAAACGTGGACCACCTGGTCCTCCTGGGCCTCCAGGACCCAGTGTAAGTAGTTTGCAGCTTAAGTTTCTTTGTGTCTAAGAGTAAAGACTGAAGTCTCAGAGGCAAGTGTGGACATGTGTATTAATTGAGTTATTGCTCTGCACTTCCAAAGTGGCTACTGTGGTTTTTTTTTTTTTTTTTTCATTCACTTAGAGCCTGGTTCAGTTTAGAGCTGTAAAAGCAGAGGAATCACAATAATGTTTAAGGTATTTTTAAGAACAAATCTTACTCATTACATTTGAAATCTTTTAATACTTGTGATTTCTCAAATGCTCAAAACTTTGACAAGTAGAAGAAGCATTTTCTAACAAACTAGCTCTTATTAAGGTTTTCATGGTAAGAAGCTTTTTAAAAAGTAGGAGTTCAAGTAGATGATATTTCATTTTTAAATTTATGTGTCAGAGTTTACTGCTTTAACTATTGTGTCAGTTATTTAATCTCCTCAATGAATTAATCTACTGCAGTTTAGGGATCTTTGAAGGACTCATCCATCAGTCAAATCTTTAGAATATTAACATATGTGTTTTTCCTTGTTCCTTGTATTTTTATTTAAAAAATGTACTTATATTTGTTCTCATTGGACTTTCTGTTACTAGTAAGTTTGAGTTCATCATTTAGTTTTGTTCATAACTTGATATTTTATTTACTTTAGGGAACAATTGGCTTTCAGTTAACAACTGTCTGTAACTGCAATTCCAGGGGATATGGTGCCTTCTGGCCTCTGCAGGCACTACATGACATGGGTGCACTTACACACATGTAGGCATAACACTCCTACACAAAATTTAAAATTTTTTTAAAAATTTATTGAGAATTTCATACATGCATATAATGTGTTTTGATCAAGTCCATGCCCACTCCCTCCCCTCCAACTCCTCCTTTCTGACAACCTCATGTACTCCTTCTTTGGGGGGAGTTTTTGCTACTCTAACATTTCTCCCTCTGAAGAGGTAACCCTAAAATCTTTTAAGGATTAAAGCTCCCAAATACTTTAGACATTTCTGGCCTTTGGAATGGAGTATGTTGCTAAGAGGCCCAAGGACATTGTGACTTTTAGCCAAAAAACTGGCTACTTTTCTTTGGGTTCTTTACCCTAACTGCGTAGCCAATTCCTACCTCCTATTCTTATCACACCATCATCTGAAGAGGTTAGCCAACTTGCCAATAGGGAATCAGGACACAGACCGCTTTGGCTTCTTTCATGCTGAACAGGGACTCAGGGTGAGGCAATTGGAGTATTCCTTCAGTGGGTCTATCTAAAAGACTCCCAAATTGCATAACTCTTATCTTGAGGAGGAAAAGAAACTCTTTGAATCGTGACTAGGAGATGTGAAGGAGAAGGAAAGGCAAGAGTAAGTAGCATTACAAGTTCTAGACAGGGAACTAGAAAAAAGTCAGAACAGGGCAACTTTTTAAATGTTCATATGAGAATCCATTAGGATTTCTTGACAAGGGCTTCCAAAAGCATCCCTCTATTGGGTTCCTCCTCATTTTTGGCTGGACTCTAGAGTGATGGATTCAGGATTTGCTTTCAGGTATTTTAATAGCTGTTGGAGTGGTTAGAATTAGTGTCAGTTCCCTCTCAAAGGCTTCTAGATAAAGGAAGAAACCATATTTATCCATCATTTTAGAACAATAGCTGGTTGTCTTCCTTAGCTAAGGTGGGCACTACAGTATTGGAGACCAAGATTTGAAGTCTTACATCTGAGCAATACCTTCTAGTTAGGAACAAAATCATCAATGAGAAATAATTGCCTAAATAACTTTTTATATAGACTTAAGCCTAATGTCTGGGAAGTGTAATCCCTTGAATGCTTAAAGAAATATACTGATGACTTTACTCTTTGGTTATACTTTCCTTTTGGGTGTTTAAGACCCTACAATGAGTCCAGATAAACCAATTTATTTTTACAATTAAGGTCGTTTGAGGACCTGTTCCTCAGGGCTCATGTGGGCTTGGGAGGAGCCCTGGCTCCATTCTTTTACCAGTTCCGTTTATGTGAAGATAAGTCAAAGGTCCTGCTCGAACATGGCTGGCTTCGCTTGGAAGCATGGAGGAAATGTTTCCTCTGTGTTGACCCTCCTCTTTGTAGACTGGACACTGCTTCAAGTCCATCTGGTGGGGTCTCCACGGCCTCCTTGATCAAGAGGACAGGTGACTCACCACAGTTACAGGACATTTGGAAAGATGCTCATAGTCCCCTGGAATTTAGTCAACTTAGGAGGGAAAGGAGCAAAAACTGTCTTTTATGTCCCTCTGTCCAGATTAGTATAGGCCTCATAGTATGGCTATTAAATATCCAAGAAGTTTAGTTGCACCAGTCTGGTGCTTTTAATTACCATGTGCCATGTAAATAAAGCTTGGGCAAAGACCAAACGCTCTCAGATAAACCTTGTCTAGATATATATTATATTCCTTGATCTGGTTGTATGTATAATTTGTCAGTAGGTTGTTGGACTAATATGGTTCCCTTTGGTTTTTTTTAAAACTAGCTAGGCATTATTTATCTCTCGCATTGTCTAACACTTCCACCATGGTTTCCCCACTTAAGGTGCCTCCATTTTTCCCATTTCTCCCTTATAATACCCTTCTCCTATGGTAGCACCTCTCTTGAGCTCCTTCTTTCCCTTTATCCCCTAGGTTCCTTGTATACCTTTCCCTCCCCCTTCCCCTTAAAATAACCCCATTTTTATCCATATCTCCCTTATGAGCACCTGTTTCCTACTGTTCTCGTTCAGATTCTTTCTTTTCCTTTACCTCCCTGGTTCCTTTTTATTAACCTGGTTCCTGTAGTTATGTCTGGATACATACTCACTTATCAGGATTTGGTGCTTGCTAGGATTCACATATGAGGGAGAACATACACCATTTTTTTTTTGAGGCCTGTTTTATTTCCCTAATATTACAGTTTCTAGTTCCATCCATTTACCTTCAAATTTCATGATTTCATTTTTCTTTACTGCTGAGTAAAATGCCATCATATAAATGAACCACATTTTCATTATCCACTCATCAGTTGAGGGACACTTAGATTGCTTCCATCCCTTAGGTATTGTGAAAAGAGCAGCAACAAACATGGATGTACAAGCAGGTAGTGGTGGTGCACATGGGTGGGATATGCTGAAGAGGCAGAGGCAGGAGGATCTAGAATTCGAGGCCAGCCTGGGCTACATAGCACTTTTTTCCAGCTATTAAACTGTATTACAGAGCTGTAGTCATAAAAACAACATGATACTGGCACAAAAATAGACCCATAGATCAATGGAACAAAACTGAAGACCCAAATATGAGTACATGCAAATTCAGCTGCCTGATATTTGACAAAGGTGCCAAGAACATTCACTGTAGGAAAGACAGCATGTTCAGTAAATGGTGCTGCTAAAACTGGATCTCTGCCTGTAGAAGAATGAAACTAAACCATTATCTTTCACCTTGCACAAAAGTCAACTCCAAATGGATCAAAGACCTCAATGTGAAGCCTGAAATTCTGAAACTGTTAGAAGAAAACATTGGCAATAACCTACAAGATATAGGTGTAGGAAAGGGTTTTCTAAACCGGACATCAACTGCCCAGGAAACAAGGTCAGGAATCAACAAATGGTACCTCATTAAACTAAAAAGCTTCTGTACATCAAAAGAAACAACCAAGGACATGAGATGGGAGAAAATCTTACCAGTGACACACCTGACAGAGGTTTAACATCCAGAGTATATAACGAACTCAAAAAACAAAGAATCAAGGAAGGAAGTAGCTCAACTAAAAGATGGGCTAAGGAGCTGAACAAAGAATTCTCAAAAGAAGAAATAAAGATGGATAAGAAGAATCTTAAAAGGTGTTCAACATCACTAGTAATTAGGGAAATGCAAATTAAAACCACTTTAAGATTGCATCTTACCCCAGTCAGACTGGCTAAGATCAAGAGAACAAATGATACCAAATGTTGGAGAGGATATGGGGAAAAGGGAACACTCATCCTCTGCTGGTGGGACTGCAAGCTTGTTCAACCCCTATTGAAAGCAGTGTGGAGAACCCTTAAAAAGCTACAAATGAACCTACTGTTGACCCAGTTATATCACTCCTTGGCATATACCGAAAGAACTCATCCTGTAGCCCATCTTTTAATTGGGTTCTTTGGTTTCTTGATTGTTTTTTGAGTTCTTTATATATTCTGGATGTTAAACCCCTGTCTATACCTGTTTTTATACATGTTTACAACATAGTAGTTTTCATTCGAAGACCATGCAATATTCAGATGAGCTGTCTTTAAAATTATCTGTCTGAAATATCCTGGAGTTCTGTGCTTTACTTATCCTAAGACAGGAGCATAGTGTGTGGGATGAATAGACTTGTATGTCCTCAGGCTGTACTAATTTTTCTTTATAGAAAGATCCTTGTTCTTTATTAGTCTTTGACTTTATGACTAAGTGTGTATTTTCGCTGGAGTGCTCCAGGGAGGTATTTTATGAATAGATGAGTAATGAAATGGTGGTGGTGAGCAGTACTGAATGCAGCTTTGGCCCACATGGTGAACATGTGTGAACCTCAGGTTAGGTTTATTTCAGTGTGGAGAGATGGTGCAATCCATTGTCTCTAAGCATTTCTTCCTTTAATACATTAGGTCTGAAATAAATGTGACAAAATAGTAACACTACATCTGGAAGATGAGTACCTGTAAGGATATTAATTGTGTACTTTTCCATACATTTTTCTGTAATCTAAGAATATTTGTGAATTAAAAATAATAAAAGGAAAGATATTTAGAGTTATTTGATAAACTATAATAGCCTTGGGGTTCTACAGATGAACTCCTTAAAATAATTCCACATTGTTATAAAATGGATGCTCTTGTTTCTCTCTCTCTCTCTCTCTCTCTCTCTCTCTCTCTCTCTCTCTCAGTGCCCCAATTCCTGCCCACCAGGTCACTCAGGATATCCAGGCCTACCAGGCATGAGGGTAAGAATAATTTTATTATTTTATTTTCAAGAGTATTATGTACAGAAAAAGAATGGAACATTTAATCATTGGCCTTGGCATTAGTCAAGTTGGAGTTTTCTTACCCTGTCTGTGGTTCAAATTCAGCTGGTGCCCCTAAACCGATGCCCCTACTGAGGTACATGTGCTTAACTGGAGAACGTCTCTGTAGTTCAGGAAGAAATGCCAGTAAAATACACTGGATCAAGAGACTGGAACACCAAATCAAGGGTCAGATATTTGATTCCTATGAAGGAAGACAGAAGTAGGAGTGTGGAGAGGGGACTGTAAACATGCATATTTGAGAATGTTCTGGTAAAAGAACTGGGTATACTATGCAAAAAATGCAGGGAAAGACTTTTCTGAAAGTGTGAGTAAAGCCCTCTGCTATCATGATTACTACAAAATAATCTATTTTTTAAAAAGCCACATGTTGGGGGTAATTGATTTTGCACCCCAGTCTCTGAGTCTAAAGTGATTCTGAGAAATCCAAGAGTTCTGCTGTGATCTGGAAGGTCTTGAGATATGGTTTTTCCACAGGTTTTTCACTGAAAGTAGTTTTTGTGGGTTCTCTCACTGTGGGAGATGTAGGCCTGGTTGGTGTTTTATTTTTCCAAAAGACCTGGGAGCAGGGAAAGTGCTAACAGGCTTGATTTGGGAACGTGTGTGTCACAGTTGACGTCATGCTGCTGTTCACACCCTGCATGTGGTTAGAACAGGGGTCTGACCAAACCGACAGGGCTCTTCTGCAGCCCGGCGCCTTCTTCACACCCATTAGGCAGCACTTCCCTTCTGCACTCAGCGTTACACACAGGAAGAGGTAGAAACCGTGCATCTGAGGAAGCCTATTCTTTTTTTAAAAATAATATTTTGTTAATTCTTGGGGATCATGTATTTTGACAGCATTCAACCTCCCTCCTTTAGCTCTTCTCAGACACCCTTGGCTCCCTACTCCCCCATCTAGTCCAATTTATACTAGTTTTGGGTGTTGATCTTAGGTGATGCTCTAGAGCCAGGTCAACCTACCAGGGGTCATACCTTAAAGAAACTGACTCTCCGTCTCTCTTAGCAGAGGTGGTTTATTCTTCAGCCAACTCTTCTTCTACATCAGGAAGGGGTTGAGTATAGAGAAGGCAGAAGGGATTTTGCAGAAGCTACCAGAAAGCAAGAAAGGGGTGAGTGCTGTGGCTTCTGAAAGGTTAAGCTACTGGTGCTAAAGCTGGCTTAATGCTCTTAACTTAATTCCTATGGGAGGACGCTGAGGAAACAGGAACACAAAGCAGGTAGGTACTGCCGGTCTGGGCTCAGTGGTGTACCTCTTTAATCCCAGCACTCAGGAGGCAGGGACAGGTGGATCTCTGAGAAGGAAGTCAGTGTCATCTACATAGTGAGTTCCAAGCCAGCTGAGGCTAGAGGGAGCCCCTGTCACAAAACAAACAAACAAACAAACAAACAAACAAACAAACAAACACACACACACACACACAAACAAGGCAGATATCAATGAATGTGTTGCTGAGCCAGGTAACGGAGCACTTGTTATTCTAGAAGAGTGTTTTCCTATTAACTAAAGCTCATGTTTATCTTATAAATCACTCATGTAGTACCTGTGGTGCTTTTAAGGTCTTTTTAAAATTATTTTTAATTTTTTTTTATTTTTTAGACAAAGCATTTCATTACAGCTTTAACATACTCAAAAACAATTTTAAAAAGATCTCTGTTTCATTTTAAAATGTACTGTTTCTTACAGAAAGACTCATTATTTTTGCTAATTACACTTAGATCTTGGTGCATGCATCTCTAATCTGTATGTATCTGATTATTACTAGTCATGGTCAGCTGCACTTGGATCCTTGGCACCTGTGTTTAAGGCAGTGTTTTTCTTGTGACAACCTTTTTCTTTCTTTCTTTTTGTTTACATAGATTTATGGAATCAGGAACATTTTATGAGACTTCTGAGCACTTTTGGGGCAAGTCCAACATGATTTATTCTTTTGTGTATGTTTATTTTTACATTTGTTAGGGTCATAAAGGAGCTAAAGGAGAAATTGGTGAGCCAGGAAGACAAGGACACAAGGTAAAGAAATGGGTACAATGGGTCAATTGTGATTGGGAAGCAGTGATTATTTTCTTTATGAGGAATTATATAAATGTAACGGAGTGTGATATTTTATTTCTTCTGTAAGTAATGCTTGATGAGTGCTCAATAGGTGCATTTGTAGTCTGACTGAATGCAGTACTCTAAGATGTTCAGTTAGTGAAAAAACAAAGAAGACACTAGACCTCCCCTGTCCCATTTCCCACTCCACCCTGTATTGACTGCCTTTCCTTTCGGTTTCAAATGTATCATATTTAGACTTTTTTCCTTGAAGCTTATAATAGTCAAATATTATTTTTTCAAGTTGTTTCACCATATGGAAGTTTTTGACACTTGTAAAATTTTATAACAAGTATGTTGAGACTAGGAAACAGAAAAGTTGGCAATTGGTTTGGAAGTCCTCAAGTTCTGAAATAATTTATCGGTTTATTTCTGATCTCATTTCACTATAACATAGATTTTGAGCTTGCTGGAAGTTAGTGATGACTTGTGCTATTATCTGGGAAAAAAACATAGACTCCATACTGCACTGGGACTGGCATTCCCTGCAAAATCAATCATCAAAAACCATAGAATCCATACTGCACTGGGACTGGCATTCCCTGCAAAATCAATCATCAATCAATCAATCAATCAATCAATTTTTAAGCAGGCTGAAATTTAAGATGAAGTGACCTAGTTGCCATTTTTTAAAAGATGGCTTAAAGATAAGCCATCTTTAAGCATCTAATGACTTTATTTCCTGCATAGTAGAATTTTTCTTTTAGTAAATTTTATATTTTACAAAAGCAGATCCTTCTCATTAATGCAGGTCTGCTGGACTTTGTTGATTTTGCCAGTCGATATCTTTACTGGGCAACAGTAAAAGATTATTTTTCTTTGGAAGTAAAGAGTGGACAGCCAATTTACTAATGTCTTGAAGTATAATATCCTCAAGTTCCTTAGCTAAAACCAGTCTGTTGAATAACCTCACTTGTACCGTCAGGATAAATAGGCCAATTTTCTATGCCCTATTACAGTTGCACATTTTATTTTCAAACTCTTTTTACTAAGGCTGTGAATAGTTAGGACATTTTATTTATCTGGAATGAAACATCTGGGTTTCTGATGTCAAACTGAAGTAAATAGAAAGACTGAGACTCTTGTAAGTTTCTCCACATGCTCATTCCTCCACCGGCATTTAAAATTTGAAATTTCAAGAAATATTTAACAAGTACGTGCTATGCACTGTGGTTTATTCTAAGTTCTGAGAACACTGAAGTGAAAAAAATTATGCTCAATCCCAAGGGTTTCGCTAAATTGAATATGACATAATAGAACATTGGCTAACCAGAAAAACCAGGCATGCAAGAACATTAAATTACACCCCAAGATATTTTTCAGTATGTGTCGTAGACAGTACACATCTCTTATTTTCTGTGCTCTCCATCTGTTCCTTCTTGTTTTGCTGATCTATCCCTTGGAAAGAATATACAAATGAATACTTCCACAGGATTTGGAGATGGAACTATCAGTCAGGGTGTTTCATGCCTCTGCTGATCAAATTAGCAAGTTTGGCACCCAAACAGGTTAGCTATATGGACTTTCAAATTTGTTTTGGTCTTCAGTGGGAAATGCTTTTTTTTTTTTTTTTTTTGTATGTTGAATAATTGGCCAAATTTTCATTTGCTGTTAAAGAGTCTTTTACTTTGTGTTCACATTTTTGTATCACTCCAAACTTTGAGTGGTGACTTTGAAAACTGGTATAAGAAGGTAAGATGACAGTACATGTTGAAGACAGAGCCCTGAAAGAGCTACCTGTGGGCTGACCTAGTCAGAACGCAGTTTGATAAAGAAGGACTCAGTGGGTGAAGGCACTTGCCAAGCCTGACTACCTGAGCTCGATCTCTGGAACCCACATGGAAGTAGAGAACCAACTCTCACAAACTATTCTCTGACCTTCACACAGGCGTCATAACATGCACACCTCCCCCAATGAATAAATGCCAAAAAATAAAATGAAGGGAAAATGACTGAGGCATAATCTAGTTATTTGTATTATATGCTTAAATCTTATGTATTTGTGGTCAGATTTACAGTCTGTCCTTGAAGGTACCTGCAAATGAACTAATGAAGATTTCCAAAAATTGTCAATGAGTATAGGAATGAATAGTGAAACTTTAATAATAAAAATACGCTAATGGCTCCATCACACAGCAGATCAGTATTCATTAAAAATTCTTTCATTAAAATGGTGATAAATTGGTTTAAGTTTGTCACTTAAAATTTGTGATGATTGATTAGGTATATGTTTTTCATCAGCAGGTGAAATAATTAATTCAAACATATTACTTCAAGTTTTATGGAAAAAAAATCTGTGGGAAATCTGCTATATTCTGATAAGAAAATTTGCTGGGGGAATATTGATCACTGTTTGTGTAGTGATTTGATAGTTTTGTAGTGAAAGACAAGTAGTATTTAATTATACTCATGTGATAATTATCCGCTCCATGATCGAGCAAATTTCACTCAGTTCTTAACTGAGGCTGCCTCTTCCCACTGTCAATCACAGGTTCTAATGGAATACAATCCGAATAGAATTATGAGACTAAATTCAGTATGTAGACTTTTCATAATTCATGCAAAATTAACTGCATGGGCCTGTGAGATAGCTTAGTGGGTAAAGGCACTTGCTGCTAAGCCTGACACCTGAGCTCGATCTCTGGAACCCACATGGGAGTGGAAAACCAACTCTCACAAGTTATTCTCTGACCTCCACACATGCATCATGACACATACACCTTCTCCAATAAATAAATGCCAAAAATAATATTAAGTGTAAATGATTTAGGCCTAGTCTTGTTCTTTGTGTTATGTGCTTAAATGTTATGTATTAATACTGCTGTTAAATTTTCTGAGTGTACTTGCTTGTGTGTGTGTGTGTGTGTGTATGAAAAATCTGAACAGAAGCAAAAATGTGTCAATCAAACATGTATTATTAATAATGAAATGACAAAAGGTATTTTAGTATATAATATACATTTAATATTTTTCTCTTAAATAACTTCACAATTTAAAATACAGAAAATGTACAGCAGTATACTTAGTATAAAAATTAAACTCCTGGGGCTACAGAGATGGCGCAGCAGTTAAGAGCACTGGCTGCTCTTTCAGGGTACTCAGGTCTGATCCCCAGCACTCACATGGCGGCTAAGAGCCATCTGTAACTCCAGTTCCACGGACACTGAATGACACGAATGTACTTATGTACATGCAGGCAATACACTCATAGGTATAAAATGAAAAGAATAAATAAAATATTATAAATTAAACTCTTGACAAAGAAAGAAATCTTTTCTCACTCTATAGAGTAGTCTTTCTGTAAAAGAGGAGTCAGACTT